ATCAGTACTTCGTTCAGTTACGTATTGCTAAATATAAGTTTAATAATAATGGAAATAATTTATTAAAATGCAGTACAAAAAATGTTAACTGACTAAAAATACTATAATAACAAATTTCTTCCGTTTGCCACGTTATTTATATAGACCTAAGTAGATTTTAAAAAAGTGACACAGGTACAATTAATAATATATTAGTTCGGCATAAAAGTTGCTGTCACGACATCGGACAATAAATTAAAATTCGTAAAATAAATTAAAATTATTATTTAAACAATTTTTTTTTTTTTGATTTAAGTATACCAAATTTGGGCCCAATCGAACTCCAGGAAATAATATCATAATAGTGTACGTATGGCACCCTTGATATATTTTAAAGGTACCATAATAATTTGGTATATTGCAATGTCACCGAAGATCCGTAGTATACCAAGTTTAAGCCCTATTGCCGCCATGTACCTAATATTGCTATGTCATCAAATATGGTACTATAGAAAATACCACTTTATATGCTCCATGATACCACGATATTACAATGTCACTGAAGATATAGTATACCAAGTTTAAGCCCAAACGAACGCCATGTATCGTAGTATAGTACTATATTATGGTATCACTTGATATGCTTCTGAAAAAACCGGCGTCCAGTTGGCTGGAAAAGGGATCGTGACATTTCCCATATAATTTACATATAAAATGACAGTGATATTCATTTCATAGCTATCGCTAACGCCGTTTTCTCCCAATATGAACTTGGTATGAACGCAATCGAACGTGGGAAGTGGTATAATAGTAGAACAATACTTATTATTTTGTCGCCGAATTACAATGAAAATTCGAGATTCAATTATACAATCAAACGTCAGGAAGTGATTGTAATTTAGCTCATAAGTTTTAATTCCAACTAACATGGCAAACTGAAAAAAAACAGCTCTGATCTGTTTAATATGTTTAAATGATGTAGCAAATTTGAAGGTAGGCTTTATCAAGAAGTATTACGATATGAATTACACAATGGCAGCACTGCACAAAATTCTTTTAAATTTTGTTTGTAGAAAACTGTTTTCTTTTAATTTATTGCCCTCTATTATTAAGTAGCGAAACTACCACATCAAAATATCTGATTTGGAGACAGACTTTTAAAGCCTGCTCCTTTTGCTACCTACAATTTTATACATGTAACGAGGGTTCTGTTGCGTAGCTAGATATATTCTATTAGCATATTTATTATGACTGACGTGTATCTTTTTTCAAATCTAACTTTATTTTAGGTTTTTCTAATTGATGTCTTCACTCTCATTTTTTATAAGATACTTATAGAGACAATAGTATCAATCATTTTTAAAAAATAATTTTGGAATCATACAAGGTGAGTGAAATATTTTACCTTAAAATTGTAGTTTTTAAATGATTGATATGTATTTTTTTTTCAGTAGATTTGTCATAGAAGTCCCATTGAAAAATACCATAACATAATTGATACCTATGAGTTTTTGAAATATGTATTACCATTTTGTACTAAATTTTCTTTTCATTTAATATTCTATCAAAATTTGTAAATCAAAACATAAAGTTAGATAAAAGCTGTGTTTATTTATCGTCCCATTGCTGCCAAAAGTTACTAACTACTTTTTTATTACTTGAAAATAATGTCTAAAGATGAATTGCATTGCATAAAGATAGTATAGTTAGTATTCGGTATTAAAATAAAACATAAATAGCCAGAAATCATAGTTAATGACTTTTGCAATCGGTTCTCCGCTTCAAAACATAGTTAGTGATTGAATTTGGTTGTTCGGAAAAATGTTAGTCAGTTACTTTTGGCAGCAATAGGACGTTATGATATAAAATGGAGAAAATTTCATTTGAACACAAACATTGCATCACAAACATGTTATATAAATTTTAATAATTATTATAAATTATAAATCATATTAATTTTAGGTACTGTGATGTTGTTTTATTTCGTTAAAATTATATATTAATTATAATATAGTAACTGTTAAAAGAAATGAGGTGTAATATACTATTTAGAGTTTGATTTTACTTATACTGATTTATTTATTCTTTAGACTTGGCTTATTAACGAAGATTCTATAGGAAAAAGCGAAAAAACGACTTCTGCAATTGGTAAGTTTGGTATTTTATGCTACTATGCATGTCTACAGTGAAGAAATAACAAGAAAATCGTACTTAACTTGTTAAAAAGCATTCAAATTTTTCCTTTGGCGCGCTTAAATGATTACAGCGCCATTCTTATATAATTGAGATTTTCTGGAACTAACATTGAAAAAACGGTGTAAGCGCCACCATACGGTAAAACTAATTAAATACAAGGTTTCTGTTTTTTACTCTGTATGTGTGGCGCCATCATGTATTAAGTATTTAAACTAACCATTTACAGATTTCTGTATAAAAAACACTGCTATTGCTATCTAACGTTAAGTAGCTGTACTTTGATAAAAATTTTCTTTGAATTTAAAGAAATCTGCAATTTTTAATTCCCAAAACCAATTTAAGTCAGGAGCTTATCTATATGAATAAAATTTTGTACTTAATTTGATTCTAACCCCAGAAAATATATTTTTTTTTTATATTTGTTACATTTTTTTTTTTTATTTTAGAATTTATTTTCAGTTTGTTATCAAATCTACTGGTTAAATTAAAATGTACGATCTATATAATATAGTTTACAACTAATTTTTGATATTATTTATCTACAATTCGTATTTTTAAGCGTAATTTGTGAAGTCAAAGTATATAGCCTTAACATTTTTTGTTACAGATATAGGATACAGATATGAAATAAGACAGTGATAAGAGCTTTTTATGAAGATAAAATGGAAAACACAAGAAAAATGGAGAGATAAAAGATTTTCTTTTGGGAAGATGTGTACTTTCATAGAATTTCATAACAAAATCTCACCGATTGTATCTTGCTTTTCAATGAAAGTGTGGGCCAAGAAAGAGTAAAGCTAGAGCAACAAAATTGGAATCCTGTTGAGCAAACGAATCCGCCAAATGGTTTCTGCTTATAATTGTCTTCAAGTCATTTCTTCAAATACCTCTTCAGAAAATTATACTTTTGAATATTCAGATCGAATAGAAGTTATGCTGTACCTCCTAAATCTGTTTTTTTCGATGATATAAAGATAATTTTATTCTTAATGGTTGTTCCACACTGGTAGAAATGTGCAGTGAATAAGGTAAACTATATTTTTTGTGTTGCTTCAGTGGATCTTTTATTTGTTATAATTTTTGTTTAGATAAAAACAACGTAAATGAAATATTAATAATGCTAGAAAATACACAGCTTTATATTTTACTGTATAAATATTTGTATATTACATTTCAGTATAATAATTGTTACTTCATATGTATATGTATTTTAAAGAAAAGTAGTTTTTAATAGAAAAATTTAACCGTACATTTTTTTTAGTATTTATTATAACTGACGTGCATCTTTTTTTAAAATCATCTATATTTTAGGTTTTCTATTGATGTCTTCAATCTCATTTTTTATATGATATAGAGGCAATAGTAGCATGCATTTTAAAAAATAATTTTGGCATCATATACAAGGTGAGTGAAATATATTTTTACTTTAAAATTGTAGTTTTTAAATGGTGTGCTGTATTTTTTTGCTCAGTAGATTTGTCATAAAAAGTTCCATTTGAAAAATGCCATAACATAATTTATACCTAATAGTTTTTGAAATATCATATCAAATCATTTCTGCAAATACTTCTTCAGAAAATTATACTTTCGAATATTCAAATATTACCATTTTTGTACTAAATTTTCTGTTCATTTAATATTCTATCAAAATTTGTTTATCAAAACATAAAGTTAAATAAAAGCTGTGTTTATTTATGATATAAAATGGAGAATATTTCATTTGAACACAAACATGTTATAAAAATTTTAATAGTCATTATTGTAAATAAATCATATTAGTTTTAGGTACTGTGATTTTGTTTTATTTCGTTAAAATTATATATTAATTATAATATAGTAACTGTTAAAAGAAATGAGGTGTAATATACTATTTAGAGTTTGATTGTACTTATACTGATTTATTTATTCTTTAGACTTGGCTTAATAACGAAGAATCTATAGGAAAAAGCGAAAAAACGACTTCTACAATTGGTAAGTTTGGTATTTTATGCTACTATGCATGTCTACAGTGAAGAAATAACAAGAAAATCGTACTTTACTTACTAAAAAGCATTCAAATTTTTCCTTTGGCGCGTTTAATTGATTACAGCGCCATTCTTCTATAGTGAGAATTTTTGGAACTAACGTGAAGACAATTATGGCGCCACCATACGGAAAGTTCTCAGACTAATTAAATGTAGGTTTCTGCTGGTACTATGTATGGGTGGCGCCATCACGTATTAAGTATTTGAGCTAGTCATTTACAGATTTCTGTATAAAAAAAAACGCTACTATTGCTATCTAACGTTGAATAGCTGAACTTCGGTAAAAATTTTCTTTGAATTTTAAAGAAATCTGCAACTTTTAATTCTCAAAACCTTTTTAAGTGAGAGCCATCTATGAATAAAATTTTATATTAAATTTAATCTTAACCCCAAACCCCAGAAAATATATATTCTTTATATTTGATACATAAAAGTACAATAAATTAGTTTATTTTCAGTTTATTAACAAATCTACTGGTTAAATTAAAATGTGCGATCTATATAATATATGTACATTACAACTAATTTTTTATATTATTTATCTACAATTCGTATTTTTAAGCGCAATTTGTGAAGTCAAATATATAGAGCCCTAACATTTTTTGTTACAGATACAAGATACAGATATGTAATAAATCAGTGATAAGAGCTTTTTATGAAGATAAAATGGAGAAAACACCAAGTAAAATGGACAGAAATAAGATTTTCTTTTGGGAAGATGTGTACTTGCATAGAATTTCATAAGAAAAACTCACCGATTGTACCTTGCTTTTCAATGAAAGTGTGGGCCAAGAAAAAGTAAAGCTGGAATAACAAGATCGGAATCCTGTTGAAAAAACGGATTCGCCAAATGGTTTCTGCTTATAATTGTTACCTTCAAATCATTTCTGCAAATACCTCTTCAGAAAATTATACTTCCGAACATTCAGATCCATGGAAGCTATGCTGTACATCCCAAATCTGCTTTTTTCGATGATATAATGATAATTTTATTCTTAATGGTTGTTCCACACTGCTAGAAATGTATTATTGTTATGAGGAGATGCAGTGAATAAGGTAAACTATATTTTTTGTGTTGGTTCAGTGGATCTTTTATTTATTACAATTTTTGTCTAAGTAAAAACAACGTGAATAAAATATGTATTAATAATGGTAGAAAATACACATAGCTTTATATTTTACTGTATAAATATTTGTATATTACATTTCAGTATAATAAAAAGCAGAAAAAAAAATAAAATAAGGTTAGTTAGTTTTCCCATAGCCAATGCTCTAACTGCCAATATGCACCTAATGCTGCTAATGCAAAAAACACCACATGAGAGAACAAATCATAGCTAAAAAAAATCTAACATCATACCGCTCTTTAGAGGACATTGCTTTTTGTAATATGAAACAACAGTGTGTTTACTATGTATATTTGAAGTGAAACTTCTGACGAACAGCTATTAAATTGAAGGATTTGAAGGATATAAAGCACTAGGTCCGCGCAGTGGCAAAATCACCAGGTCCCCGCAGTAGCAAAATCACCAGGTCCCTGTAGTGGGAAAATCACCAGGTCCCCGCGGTGGCAAAATCACCAGGTTCCCGCGGTAGCAAAATCACCAGGTCCCCGTAGTGGCAATATCACCAGGTCCCCGCGGTGACAAAATCACCAGGTCCCCGCAGTGGCAAAATCACCATTTCCCCGCAGTAGCAAAATCACCAGGTCCCCGCAGTGGCAAAACCACCAGGTCCCCGCAGTAGCAAAATCACCAGGTCCCCGTGTAGTGGCAATATCACCAGGTCCCCGCGGTGTCAAAATCACTAGGTCCCGTAGTGGCAATATCACCAGGACCCCGCGGTGACAAAATCACCAGGTCCCCATAGTGGCAATATCACCAGGCCCCCGCGGTGGCAAAATCACCAGGTCCCCTGCAGTGGCAAAATCGTCAGGTTCCCGTAGTGGCAATATCACCAGGTGCCCGCGGTGACAAAATCACCAGGTCCCCGCAGTGGCAAAATCACCATTTCCCCGCAGTAGCAAAATCACCAGGTGCCCGCAGTGGCAAAACCACCAGGTCCCCGCAGTGGCAAAATCACCAATTGATTACATTTCCCATATAAATTTACATATAAAATGACAGCGATCTTCATTTCATAGCCATCGCAGACGCCGTTTTTTTTTTCGATCATACAGTAGAAGTAATATTTTTTAATCAAGCTTTTTATTGAACAATTAATGAATTATTTCTGTATTTTTCTTCCAGAACCAACACTTTCTAGAAGGGTAGTCAGAAGATTTATTTACCTCAACATAGACATCAGCATGTCCATCAGCACCTTGGATTTTAATGTACTTTTAATATTAATATTGTTAATAATATATATTTATATTATGTTAATAAATAAATAATGATTAATAATAAATGAGTTTTATTGGACTAAAATATATTATACCGTTTATTCGCGAACAACAAGAAAATTGAATTTAATTATAACAAATAATATATCCTAATACTAACCAACTTACAAGTTGTTCTGGAATAGACAGTATTCTATATATATATTCCTGATTAAAATCCAGCATATTCAGATACAGATATAATTGTTCAGAATATATTTGACCTGCTAAATAATCAGATATTTAGATCAAAAATTCTTGACAAAATAGTGAATGTAACTTTTTACTCCTGGTACCGAAAAATAAATTCAAAGGCGTCTCACTTTTAACAAAGCTGTTCAAAATAATTTCAACCTGGCAAAAACGGAGTACCCGACCAACGAGTTCGAACGAGTTAGATTTTTTTCGAAAAACGGCTATAACTTCCAAACTATAAGAGATATCGAGGAACGGAACTCTGTAATCGATAGAAATTCAATTCTCTATAAGGGGTGCAAATTTAGGGGATGATCGGAGACAAAAAATTTTTTTTGGCGAAAATGAAGTAAGGTTAACCCTTACCTCATTTTTTCGCCAAAACTTTTGTTTCCGATCGCGCCCTCGTTTTGCGCCCTTATAGAGGGTTGAAATGCCTATCGAAAGCCGCCCTCCGTTCCTCTCTAGCCCTTATAGTTTCCGAGATATTAAGGGTTGAAGTTTGGAAACGAGTTCGAAGTGCTAGAGATAGCAGAAATATCGTTGAAAAATGCTTTATTTACGTGTGGTACTAAATTTGCTCCTTACCTCCTCACGCTTATGCTATCCTGATAGAAATCGGCGATTTTAGACACGGTTTAAAAATTTTCGTGCGGTCTTTGCCAAAAATTGAATTTTCTCGGATATGTATCAGGAGTACATAAGAGCGAGGAGGTAAATATTGGTACTAAATTTGCTCTTTACCTCTTCACACTTATGTGCTCTTGATAGAAATCGGTGATTTTGGACTACGATTAAAAATGTTCGTTCAATTTTTATCAAAAGTTGAATTTTCTCAGATTTGTATCAGGAGTGCATAAGAGCGAAGAGGTAAAGGTTGGTATTTTTTTCATTAAAAATACTGTCTGTTCCTGAACAACTTGTTTGGTTTCTTAGTATTAGAATACATTATTTTTGTCATAATTAAATAACTTTCTATTTGTTCATGATTAGACAGTATTTCTAATATATTTTAGTTCAATAAAACTCATTTAATATTAATTACTGTTTATTAACATATCATTTTTTATTAACAATAATAACATAAAAAGTATAATATTAAAATCCAAGGTGCTGATGAACATGTGGATGTCTATGTTGAGGTAAATAAATCTTCTGGCTACCCTTCTGGAAAGTCTTCGTTCTGTAAGAAAAATATAAAGAAAAATTAATTGATTGTTCACTAACAATGTTGATTAAAAACTATAACTTCAATAATATGATCAAAAAAAAAACGGCGTCTGCGATGGCTAGGAAATAAAGATCGCTATCACTTTACATGTAAAATTATACGGAGAATGTTACCGATGTTCATTTCCAAGTCAACTAGACGCCGCTTTTTTCGATTATACGGTACAATACGATGAAAAAAAAACAGCGTCTGCGATGGCTATGAAATGAAGATCGCTATCACTTTACATGTAAAATTATATGGGGAATGTCATCAATGTTCATTTCCAAGTCAACTAGACGCCGCTTTTTTTCGATCATACGGTACAATATGATGGAAAAAAATATGGCGTCTGCGATGACTATGAAATAAAGATCGCTATCACTTTACATGTAAAATTATGTGGGGAATGTCATCGATGTTCATTTCCAAGTCAACTAGACGCCGTTTTTTTCGATCATACGGTACAATATAATGAAAAAAAAAACGGCGTCTGCGATGGCTATGAAATAAAGATCGCTATCATTTTACATGTAAAATTATATGGGGAATGTCATCGATGTTCATTTCCAAGTCAACTAGACGCCGCTTTTTTCGATCATACGGTACAATACGATGAAAAAAAAACGGCGTCTGCGATGGCTATGAAATGAAGATCGCTATCACTTTACATGTAAAATTATATGGGGAATGTCATCAATGTTCATTTCCAAGTCAACTAGACGCCGCTTTTTTTCGATCATACGGTACAATATGATGGAAAAAAATATGGCGTCTGCGATGACTATGAAATAAAGATCGCCATCACTTTACATGTAAAATTATGTGGGGAATGTCATCGATGTTCATTTCCAAGTCAACTAGACGCCGTTTTTTTCGATCATACGGTACAATATAATGAAAAAAAAAACGGCGTCTGCGATGGCTATGAAATAAAGATCGCTATCACCTGCTATCGTCCAGGGAATGCTAACATTCACTAGTAAAAGTTGGTTTCAAATATAGCTGTTGAACTTTTACTGGCGTAATCTTAGCAAATCAGTGAATGGTGAGCTTTTACTAGTAATCGTTAACGATCACTGATTTCCAACTTTTACTGTAACACATACAACATAACATGCATAGTAGGCTGGCAAGGTTAGTCTTGGGT